GTTTGCTGCTGCTGCTGCTGCTGCTGCTGCTGCTGCTGCTGCTGCAGGAACTTGCTGCTGCACACGCGGCGGTGTTTGCTGCTGTGGATGTGGAGGCCGTCGAGGGGCTGCAGCAGCTGCCGCAGGCGCTGCCCACTTTTCAAGTTTTCCGAAACAAAGAACTCGCTGACCAGGTTTGCTGCTGCTGCTGCTGCTGCTGCTGCTGTTGCTGCTGCTGCTGCTGCTGCTGCTGGGGTTGGGTTGGGGTTGGGGTTGGGGTTTGGTTGTGCTGCAGTTTGGTTGTGCTGCTGGTGCTCGTTGTGCTGCTGCTGCTGCTGCTCTTTCGTTGTGCTGCTGCTGCTGCTGCTCTTTCGTTGTGCTGCTGCTCTTTCGTTGTGCTGCTGCTGCTGCTGTTATTGCTTTTGCTGCTGTTGCTGTTCTTTGGTTGCGCTGCTGCTGCTGGTGTTTGGTTGTGCTGCTGCTGCTTCTGTTTGGCTGTGCTGCTGCTGCTTCTGTTTGGCTGTGCTGCTGCTGCTTCTGTTTGGCTGTACTGCTGCAGCTGTTTGGTTGTGCTGCTGCTGCTGTTTGGTTGTGCTGCTGCTGCTGTTTGGTTGTGCTGCTGCTGCTGCTGTTTGGTTGCGCTGCTGCTGCTGTTTGGTTGTGCTGCTGCTACTGCTATTTGGTTGTGCTGCTGCTGCTATTTGGTTGTGCTGCTGCTGCTGTCTGGTTGTGCTGCTGCTGTTTGGTTGTGATGCTGCTGTTTGGTTATGCTGCTGCTGCTGCTTGGTTATGCTGCTGCTGCTGCTGCTGCTGCTGCTGCTGCTTGTCGATTGTTTGGTTATGTTGTTTGGTTATGCTGCTGCTGCTGCTGTTCGAAACTGCTGCTGTTCGAAGCTGCTGCTCTTTGGTGCTGCTGCTGTTTTGTGCTGCTGCGGCTGTTGTTAACTGCTGCTGCTCCTTCTGCTGCCGTCTCTTTTGCTGCTGCTGCTGCTGCTGCTGCTGCTGCTGCTGCTGCTGCTGCTCTTCCGCGGCTCTTTCCTCCTTCTAGCCAGTTTCTCCTTTTGTCTTTTATACTTTTATATTTTATAATGACTTTTAATCTATTTCAAATAAAGCTTCCCAGATTTTTCTGCTGCTGCTGCTGCTGCTGCTGCTGCTGCTGCTGCTGCTGCTGCTGCTGCTGCTGCTGCTGCTGCTGCTGAAGTGTTTTTGTGTTTCTTTTTCTCGACTGCAATTTGCTGCTGGTCTTCTTCTGCGCATTTCTTGAAAAAGAATCTTCAAAAGAATTAAATTGCATTTAAATCGTTTCTGTTTTTATTCTTTTCCGGAAATTATTTTTAAAAAGAATTAAATTGCATTTATATCATTTATTTTTTATTATTTTCTTTTCGGCAGCATGTATCTGTCTAATCAAGCATGCATATTCAAAGCGTGCGTTGTAAAGCAGCAGCAGCAGCAGCAGCAGCTGCTGCTGCTGCAGCTGCTGCAGCTGCTGCTGCTGCCGCTGCTGCTGCTGCTGCAGCTGCTGCTGCGTTTGGCTTTGCAAGTTCATGTTTGTGGCAGTTGTTTCGCAGGGCGTATTGGGGGTTGATTTGTTTTCTATTGGTTGATTTGCAAATATTAAATAACTTTTAAGTTTATTATTTATTACTATTTGTTTGATGTTTTAATTAAATATTTAATTTGTCTGTTTTGCTGCTGCTGCTGCTGCTGCTGCTGCTGCTGCTGCTGCTGCTGCTGTTCGCAGCTGACGGGGGCTCTGCCGGCGGAGCTGAAGGCCATGGTGAGTCGCCACTGCAAGTTGCGGTGAAAATGGAGAAATAAAAGACAATAAAAGAGAAATAAAAGAAAATAAAAGAGAAATAAAAGAAAAATAAAAGAAATTAAACGCAAATAAATGAAAATAAATGAATAATGAACTCCGAGAGATGTTCTCTCATTTCGGCGCGGCGGCGCGGCGGCAACCGCAGGTGTCTGTACACCTCAGCGCTCTCGCCTCTTTCTTCTCTTCAACTCTCAACTTTCGTTTTTCTTTTCATTTTATTTCATTTAGTTTTTTATTTTAAAATTAAAGTGAAAATAAGGAGAAGAATAGAAGTGGAGCGGCTGCCGGGAGCTGTCTGTACACCCCAACGCGAACGGCACTTCAACGTTTTAAACTTTTGAGAAGAACCAAAAGCAAATATTTAATTAAAGTAAATATTTAATTAATTTATTTGAATTAAAGTTTAATTAAATGTTTTACTTGAAAGAATATTTTCTTTCTGTTTCTTTTTCTCCCGTGGCTGCTGCGGTCTTTGCTGCTTTTTGCTTTTTCCTTCAGCTGCTGTTCTTGCCTTGTCTTCTTCTACTTCATTTTGTTCTTTTCCATTTTAATTTTTCTCTTTCCACTTTTATTATTTTATTTCAAGTAATTATTTATTATTTTATTTCAGGTAATTATTATTTTATTTCAAGTAATTATTATTTTATTTCAAATAATTATTTATTTTAACTTCCCTACTGAGCCCTCATTTGTAGAAAGGCAATTTTAGATCTGCAGCAGCACCAAATGTGCGCAGTATTTCCATTGGCCGCTCTGCTGCAGCTCTGGCGCAGCAATAATAGCAGCAGCTGCTGCTGCAGCTGCAGCAGCTGCTGCTGCAGCAGCTGCGGCAGCAGCAGCTGCGGAAGCAGCTGCAGCAGTAGTTGCAGCAGTAGTTGCAGCAGTAGTTGCAGCAGTAGCTGCAGCAGCAGCAGCAGCTGCTGCTGCTGCTCAAGCGCCAGGCTGCGGCAAGCCAGCGTCTTTCCATCATTGTTGCTGCAGCGACGGAAACAAAAGCCGCTGCTGCGGCAGCAGCAGCAGCAGCAGCAGCAACAGCAGCAGCAGCCGCAGCATTTGTATCTGGGCTTGGGTTTGGTGCTACGCCCAGAAGGCCTGGGGCGAGGCGGCGGCGCCACCGTAACTTCTGAACGGCCTGCGCTGCTGCTGCTGCTGCTGCTGCTGCTGCTGCTGCTGCTGCTGCTGCTACTGCAGTTTGCTGCTGCGGGAAAAGCCTGCTGCTTCCGCCTGCGGCCTTGCTGCTCCGTACTTCCACCTGCTGAGCAGCTCGCTGAGCTCTTGGGCTTCTTCTTTTCCAAAAAGAGATCCAAATTCGCTCAGCACTTTCTGCGTCAGCAGCCGCTCTTCGCACGGGTACTTCACCGGCTCTGCAGCAGCAGCAGCAGCAGCAGCAGCGGCAGCAGCAGCAGCAAAAATGGAAAAAAATGAGCCGGAAACCGCTGCTGGCAATGCCCGGGACTGCGGAGAAGCTGCATGCGGATAGAACTGTTTCATTTTGCTGCTTTTGACTGCATTGAAGGCGTAGTGATGCAGCAGCAGCAGCAGCAGCAGCTGCTGCTGCTGCTGCTGCTGCTGCTTGTAGCTGGGGCAGCAGTGGGAAGCAGGGTCGGAGGCGCGGGCTGGGGGGTGGATCTGGGCATTTGTTGCGGAAAAAGTGGAATAAAAGTGTTGAAATTATTTTAAAGTGTTGAAAAAAAGAAATAAAATGAAATTAAAATGTTTTGAATTACCTGGAGGGAACTTTTTGCGGATTTCCTTCGCTGGTCCTTCTTCGACGAGTCTTTTCTGCACGCGGCTCTTCAGGCGGGAGGCCAGGAGGGGGGCGAAGTAGGGGCGGAACTTGTCTCGGTGCTGCGAAAAAGAAGCAAATTTGGAATTAAAATTGAAAATAATTCAAATAAAAAGAGAAATTGTGAAATTTAAATGAAATCTGACTTGAATTGCGGCGAAAACGACGGAATAAACGAAGATCGGCGCCCGTGCATTTCAACTGTTGCAAACACGAGAAAGCTGCAATGCAGTTGCTGTTAAGAGTCCACAAACACTCAATTTAATAATTGCAACTTTTAAAATGCAAAATGCGCATTTTATGCAATTAAATGAGTCTTTGCTGCAAAGTGTGGACGGAAAAGAAGGAACGGGCGACGAAACCGCGGCGAAATTTGCACAGCCTTCGAAGAACTTGAACTGACACGAAATGAACTTCAAATCCGCGAATCTCTTTTCAAATAAATATGTTATGCGAATTAAAAGCAAATGAAGATTCAAAAAGGAGAATAAATGCAGAAAAGCCGCGAAGTGCAGACGAAGTTGAATCGGAAAGCACAGCTGGTCCGCAGCAGCAGCGGCGCCCTGGGGGTCAAACTCACCTCCATGAGAACGTAAAGGAGATCTTCCCACTTGAAGACGTCTGCGTTTCCGACGAAGAGAAGTTGTCCGTAATTAATGATGAATTGGAAGAGATCGGCGCTGTCGAGCGCAAAGGCCATGTGCAAGTAGTACTGCTGCACCTCCCTGCTCGGCCGCCAGACCCGCACGTCGTCTTGCGCGAAAAACGCCACAAAGTCGCTGAACAAAGCCGTCAAGTTTCCCAAAAAAAGCACCAACTCGAAGCCCGGCATTTGGTAGTTCACCAGCAGCTGCACCATCCGCCTCCCGTCCGCGGGGTTCAGGGGGTCGAAGGGCTGCGGAAAACGCACAAAGAAGCTTCCAACTGCTCTTCGCGCGGGAAAGAACAAACTAAGAACGAATTAAAATTAATTAAAAACAAATTGAGACGCAATTGAAGGAAAAGTGCGCAAAAAGCTGAGAATTCAGTGCAGCAGAGGACACGCAGCTGCAGATCGTGGCTGCTGCGGCCGCGGCAGAGTTCAAATTGCAAGAAAGCAGCTCCGAAAAGTTGAAAAGAAGAACTCTCTGCAATTAATTGAACTTTTCAGCAGCAAAAGTGCAGCAACTGGCGGCAGTTTGCTGCAGATTCCGCAGCTTTCCGGAGTTTCTGAACGCCCACCTGCCCGTTGGGGCCGCAGGGGTGCTGCTTGAAGGCCCTGTGCAGCAGCGCAGTGTAGAGAAAAGGGTAAGTGATCTTCTGCTGCAGCAGCCCCGACTCCACGGCCATTTCGGTGGCTTTGATGCGCAGCAAGCTGCAGCAGCCGAGGCGCTTCAGCACCAGCAGCAGCGCCCGCAGCTTCCGCAGCAGCCGCTGCAGCCGCGCCCGCAGCAGCTCGCACAGCGGCCCCGCAAAGACTTCCTCCACCAGCACCAGCACTTCCCGCTGCAGCATTTTGTTCTCCAGCTGCTGCTGCAGCTGCTCCTGCTGCTGCTGCAGCTGCTGCTGCCGGCTGCCCTCCAAGCTCCCCGCTGCAGCTTCGCACGGGTAAAAGAACTGCTGCGGCGCCGCGCCGCTGGGCGCCGGCCCCGCGGCCCCCGAGGGCAGCGGAAACTCCGCTGCAGCAAAAGGAAGCAAAGCTGCGAAAATGGCTTTTTAATCCACAGTGGGACACTCAGTTCCCGCTGCTGCTGCAGCAGCAGCAGCAGCAGCAGCAGCAGCAGCAGCAGCGGGAAGGCGCAGCCAGCGCTCCGCCGGGAGGCGGCAGCGCAGCAAGGGAAAAGGCAGGCAAGCAGAAGCTGCGGAGCAGCACAGCAGCAGCAGCAGCAGCAGCAGCAGGCAGCAGCAGCAGCAGCAGCAGCAGCAGCAGCAGGCCGCTCACCCTGGGAGTGGTCCACTGGTCCACCCAGGCCCCCGGGCCTGGCCGCGGGCCAAGAAGCCCCAGAAGACCAGCCAGGGGGGAACTCCACGGGGGCGAATTTGCAGGGCGGCGGCAAAGAGGGCACTGGGGGCTTAACTGCGGCCTGGAGGCGCATTTGGCGGGGCTGGGCGTACAAGTTGAAGTACTGTTCATTGTAGTGGACTCGGAGTGGATTTTTGGATTTATTTTCGACTTGGAGAGGATTTTTGAAGTTAAAATCGCCTTTAAAAGGACTTTTAATGTTATAGTCCCCTTTGAAAGGGCTTTTGCTGCTGCTTTCCCCTTCCAAAGGGCCTGCGGAGCGGTGGCGGCGCCGCGCGCAGGCCGCGCAGCAGCAAGGTGACCACTGGACCAGACCACTGTGGTCCACTGGTCTGGAGCTGCTGAAGCAGCTTTGGAAAAGCTCCAGCGCCAGCTGCAGCGCCAAGTCCAGCGCTGTGCGGCCGCCGCGGTCTCTTGCAAATAAGTCCTGAGTCTTCTCCAGTTCTGCGAAGAAGGCCATGAAGTCCCCCCGCAGCAGACAGCGGTGCAGCAAGGGGCCCTCCATGGCGGGCAAGGGGCCCCCGCAGCAGCAGCAGCAGCAGCAGCAGCAGCAGCAGCAGCAGCAGCAGCAGCAGCAGCAGCGGCGGCGGCGAAGGCGGGAAGGCGGGAGCCGCTGGGGAAGGCCTCGCGGGGATTCGGGAAGAAGCCGCTGGCAGTTTGCTGCAAAAGTGCGGGGAAGTTTTGCTGCAGCGCTGCTGCAGTGCTGCTGCAGCACAAGTTCGCGCTGCTGCTGCTGCGAAGCTCGAGATGCCGCAGCGCGCGCTGCTGCTGCTGCTGCTGCTGCTGCTGCTGCTGCTGCGAAACGCAGGCCTTTTCGAAGCTTTCAAACTCAAAAACTGCTTCCAACTGCAACAAAAGTCCACCAACTTCTCGCAGAAACAGACCAAGTGGACCACTGGTCACGGGGCCCTCGCTGCCGGCTTTCCCCGGGGCCACCGCGCCGCGAGAACCACTGGGTAAGGAGACCCCGGCAAACTGCAGCAGCAGCAGCAGCAGCAGCAGCAGCAGCAGCAGCAGCAGCAGAGCTCAAGTCCTCGGAGATCTATTAATTGGGACTCGGGCTTGTTTAGCGAAGTGTCTGCAGAGAGAGCTGCAGCAGCAGCAGGGTTTGCTGAACAAAGCCGCCGGGCAGCCGACTGCTGCTGCTGCTGCTGCTGCTGCTGCGTCCCACTGCAGCAGCAGCAGCAGCAAAGGCGAAGGAAGTTATTCAAACTTTACTTGAGGCTTCTGGAAATGATTTGAAAGAGAAAATGCGTTTTTGAGCATTTAAAAGCAGCAGCAGCAGCAGCAGCAGCTCGAACTTGGGCCCCCGCCCCGCTAGCCACTCACGCCGATCGGCTGCTGCCGCCACTGGGGCCCCCAGCGGCTCTTTTCGCGCGAAAAAAAAACAAAAATTAACTTTTAAAAGAAAAACTTAGCTCAGAATAGCTCAGATCGCAGCAAGCCAGCGCGAAACTGCCGGGTTTCCGGGGCGAGCAGCAGCGAAACGGGAGAGAAACGTGGCAGTTCGCCGTGTCTGGCTGGAGGCACTTAGCAAAAACTCGACACAATCCACAGAAACTTTTTAAATAGTCAGAGGCCGTTGAATCGCCGGCGGTCGCAGAGAGTTCAAGTAGTGCGGAGTTGCAAAAGCTGCAAAACGGCGGATTTCGCCGAAATTTTGCGCAGATCCTCTCGAGTTTCCGAAACAGTGAAGGCAGTTGAGACTTGCAGAAGTAATGGAAGCAAAAGGGAAGAACTAGAAGCCAAATGCAGGGCTTTTTAGCGGGAGATCGGCAGTAGCAGTTGTGCAAGACAGGGTGTACGGACAGCTCTGTGGCGCAGTGGCGGCGGCGCTTCAGAGTGAGGTTTCAGAATACCTTCAAGTAGCCACCTATCTCGTGAAAATGCATGCTCAGCGTCTGCTAATAATGTTTTGCTAATCTTTTTCATGAATATGTTTATTCGCGCAATCGCAACCCGCGCGATCCTGTAGTTCCCACTTGAATTCGGAGTCGCTTTCCAGAAAGCTGAACTTCACAAGTCCAGACCAGCGGTTGGCAAGCTCGCATCGCACTGCTCAACTGCTTCAGCATTTTCCCGTGTCTTCGTTTTAAGTGGGAGCGCCGCAAGGCGTCGTAGATTCGCATGCGATCGTCTCCGTAGCGTTTCCCGAAATCAGTTTTTCCGCGGAGTCCGCGCCCGTTTTCGCCGGAGTCCGTTCCCGTTTTCGCGGAGTCGAGTTCAGTTTTAAGGAGTGGAATTCGCCTTCCAAGGAGTCCAGTTCAGCTTTCAAAAGAGTCCAGTTCAGCTTTCAAAAGAGTCCAGTTCAGCTTTCCAAGAAGGAGTCGAGTTCAAATTTTCACCAAGTCCCAGGCTCCGCGAGGCAGCCGAGATGTTCGCGCGGTGGAGACCCCTCAGCAGCACTGCCAAGCCCGCAGTGGAAATGGCCTCTCCCGCTGCAGCAGAGGCCCGGCAGCAGCAGCAGCAGCAGCAGCTGGGCTGCGGGCCGGACTTCTTGCGAAAAGCTCATTACTTTTGTCTCATTCAATCGGCCCCCATTCCCTTCGCGTTTGTCTTTCGGGAGAGCGGCGAGTACATCATTGGCTGCAGCTGCGGGCAGGGCGCAGCAGGTTCGCTGCAGCCGGTGCCTGCGGGGCCCTTCGCGGAGTACCGCTGCTGCTGCAGCAGCAGCAGCAGCAGCAGCAGCAGCTGCTGCAGCTACTTGCGGGTGAAGGTCCGCGACAGGAACATTTCCGTGCGGCAGAGCCTGCCCGCGGGGGCCCCCTTCGCAGAGGGCAGCTGCGGGACTTGGAATTTTTTCCGAGAAACTCCCAAGGGCTTCGAAGTCTTCTCCCAAGTGGACTCTGCCGAAAACTGCTGCTTCCGCGCGGCCCCCAGGCCCGCCCTTCGCGGCCAACTCCCAAGTCCCGAGGACTCTGGCTGTTCTTCCTTTTCCTTCCGCCGCATTCTCCTCGGCGTGGAGGGGCCCCCCCGCCGCTGCGCGCCCAGCGGGGCCCCCAGGGCCCCCAGGGGCCCCCAGGGGCCCCCCGGCCCGCGGGGCCCCCAGGGCCCGCAGGGCCCCCGGGGCCCCCGGGGCCCCCGGGGGCCCCCGGGGGCCCCCGAGTCGGACTCGAGCGCGGCGGAGACGGAGTACGAAGTGTCAGTGAGCCGGCGGTTCGAAGTGCTGCTGGAGGTGCGGCTGGGGAAGGGCGGCAACGGCGAAGTGTTTTTGGGGATAGAGCGGCGGCTGGGCCTGGCAGTGGCCATCAAGAGAGAGCCCAAGGAGATGCTGAGACATGAGTTTGGCCTCATTCAAGAAGTGCGGCTGCGGGGGCCCCTGCTGGCCTACAGGGCCCGCGAGCCGCACCCCTCGCGCTTTCTCGGGCTGGTCGCTCACGCCGTCGCTCTCGAAGTCGGCAACTCCGCAGTCGCCGCCGCCGTCGCTCACCACAGCGCTCGCGGCGACGCTCACGACCACATGGCCCTCGAGCTCGTCAACGGCGGCGAACTCCGCAAAGTCCTCAAGTCCAGGTTCTTGAAGGGAATGCCCGTGAGCTCCACAGCCTCCCCTGCTCCTGCTGCTGCTACGCTCCTGCTGCTGCTGCTGCTGCTGCTGCGCTCCTGCTGGTGCTCCGCTCCTGCTGCTGCTCCGCTCCTGCTGCGTTCCTGCTGCTGCTGCGCTCACTGGTGCTGCTGCGCTCGCTGCTGCTGCTGAGCTCCTGCTGCTGCTGCGCTCCTGCTGCTGCTGCGCTCCTGCTGCTGCTGCGCTCCTGCTGCTGCTGCGCCCGCTGCTGCTGCTGCGCTCGCTGCTGCTGCTGCGCTCCTGCTGCTGCTGCGCTCCTGCTGCTGCTTTGCTCATTGCCGCTGCTGCAGCTCGAAATGGCGAGGGCGTACGTGTACCAGATCGTGTGCGCGCTGGTGCTGATCCACTCGAAGCAAGTGATCCACCGGGACTTGAAGACGCAGAACATTTTGGTTCGGCACGGCGAAGCTTTTCAAAACGACGAACTGAAGATCATCGACTTCGGAAACAGCGTGTAAGTCCGGGCGCTCCCGCCGCCGCTGCTGCGCTGCAGCGCTCACCGCGCGGCTTCAGCAAAGTCAAGCCCGGCTCCGTCTTGACCAAAAACTACACAACTTGCTTTGCCTGCGCGCCCGAGCAGTTCCTGCCTTCCGAAAAGGGGTACAGCTTCGGAGTCGACGTGTGGGCGGTGGGAACCATATTCTTCGAGCTGCTCACTGGCGACCGTCTGTTCGAGTGTTTGAACATCCACGTGGGTCTTTTTGCATTTTTGCAAACAAAACTTTGCATTTTTGCAAATAAAACTCCTTCAACTCCGAAACTTTGCATTTTTGCAAACAAAACTCCTTCAACTCCGACTCACAGGAAGCTGCGCGGCAGATCCCCGCTAAGGGCGAGCAGCACGTGGCCGCCCGCCTCCCCGGCCTGCGGCAAGACGCGAAGGACTTCCTGCTGCAGTGCCTGGCCCGGGAGCCGCAGCAAAGGCCGACGGCGCTGCAGCTGCTGACGACTCCGTTTCTGTTTCCTCTTCACCTCCACCAGATTCGCCGGCGCGTGGAAACGACTGATGTGTACAACACTTACCTGCGGGCCTTCGAGAAGGGCTGGGGCAACTTGGAGCCTTTGAAGGAACTCCGCGAAATGGAAAACTTGGTTTTCGACGAAGACCGCCGCGCCTTCGTCTCGCAGCAGCCCGCGGCGGAGGCCGTCAACGTGGTGCTGCCCGTCTTCGAGTGCGTGCCCGACTTCCAAGCCCAAGACCACCCCATGGAGATTCAGAACTGGACTCTGGCCAGCGACGCCTCCTTTTGCTGCGCGCCAGCCAAGCTGGAGGCCCCGCAGGGGCCCCCCGAGGGCCCCGGCTGCTGCGGCTTCGCCCAACACCCCTCCGTCAGCAGCTTCACCTCCACGGGGACTTCGCCGGAACTCGAAGACAACTCCGCACTCGACAAGCTGCTGCCCCTCGGCCCCTTCTTCCCCCCCCCCTCAGCCTCTCCCTCTGCGGCCAGGCCCTCCCCAAGCGCAGCTCCACCGGCTCCACCACTTCCTTCGAGTCGCCCCTCGCGGGCTCTTCGCTCTTCCGCGAAGTGGAGCCCCTGGGGGGCAGCGCGGCCTCCCTGTAGCTTCCGGGGCCCCTTCGCCCCTCACGGCCCCCATCGCCGCGGGCGCCCGCCCCGCCGCTGCTGCTGCTGCTGCTGCTGCTGCTGCTGCAGCTGCAGCTGCGAGAGGAGCCTTTGCTCCTCCTGCTGCAGCTGCAGCGCCCGCCCCCTTATCAGGTGGCCCCTGCTTCGCAGCCACGCATCGTAGGCCTTCACGTCAAACGCGGGGTGCTGCTGCTGCTCCAAAAACTTGTCGCTTTTCCACTTTTCTCTGAAGTAGCGCCCCCGGCTCACGGGGTCCGTCCGCAGCCGCTTGTCTGCTTCTCGGTAGAGTCCCTTTCGCTGCGCGCCGTGGCTGCTGCTGGCCCCGCAGCCGCGAGCGCCCTCCTTGCCTGCTGCTGCTGCTGCTGCTGCTGCTGCTGCTGCTGCTGCTGCTTCTGCGTGCACCAGCTGCTGCGCTGCCCGGGGCAGCGCAGCAGCCATTTCGTCCAGCGCCAGCTGCCGCCGCAGCAGCTCGTCCTTCTCCAGCTGCTGCAGGCGCTGCAGGTGCTGCAGCTTCCGCAGCTGCAGGTCTCGGTCTCTCAGGCTCGCTGAGGAGTTCTCCCACGGCCTGCTGCAGGAGATGAAGAACCGCGCATGCAGATCGCCCCCAGCAGCAGCAGCAGCAGCAGCAGCAGCAGCAGCAGCAGTGGTCGTGGCAGTGGCGGCGGCGGCGCCCTCCGGCTTGGGGCTCAGGCCCTTGGCCAAGGGCGGCTTCCGCCAGCGGCTGCAAGCTGCTGCTGCTGCTGCTGCGGCCCCAGGAGCTGCTGCTGCTGCTCCAGGCGCTGCTGCTGCTGCCCATCTGCTGCTGCGCGCGCTGAGGCTGTGGCGGCCTCTGCATGCAGCTTGTGTGCAGTTTTCCTTCTCCGGCGGCTCTCGGTGGTGCACGTGGTGGTGGCGGTGATGCTGCTGCTGCTGCTGCTGCTGCAGCTGCTGCTGCAGCAGCAGGCTGCTGTGCTGGAGGTGGCTGCAGCCAGAGCCACCGCGGCACGCCGCAGCCACAGCCTCCACAGCCTCCACAGCCCCCGCCCACCGCTGCTGCTGCTGCTGCTGCTGCTGCTGCGGCGTCAGCAAAGACTCGGGAGTCTGCAGCAACTCTGCATCTTCTTGGACTTCATTGATTGCGCTGCTGCTGCTGCTGCAGTCCTCTTCGAGCTGCTGCCTGCAGAGGCTGGGCGTCCCGCCGTGGGCCCTGGGCGGCTCGCTGGAGGCCTCCTCCGCCGCTGCTGCGCTGCAGCTTGCTGCTGCTGCTGCTGCTGCTGCTGCTGCTGCTAGCGGCTCCGGCAGCAGCAGCGCCTCGCCGTCCTGCGGACTCTCCACCAGCCGGTAGTGGTACTGGAAGTACTTCGGATCGCGCAGCATTTGTTCTCCAGTTTGCTGGTCAGTTTGCACATATTCTTGAGCTGCTGCGTCCCACACATAAAACTCGTACTCCACAGGCTCGCCCTGCTGCTGCTGCTGCTGCTGCTGCTGCTGCTGCAGCAGCGAGGCTGCAGCAGCTGCGGACGCCTGCGCCTGCACCTCCTGCTGCTGCTGCTGCTGCTGCGCGGCCAGCGGCTGGTGGTGCGGGCAGTGCTGCAGCAGCTGCGTCCGGTCCGCTGGGAGCTGGCTCTGGCTGCGGCTGCTGCTGCAGCTGCCGCTGCAGCAGCCGCTGCAGCAGCCGCTGCAGCAGCCGCTGCAGCAGCCGCTGCAGCAGCTGCCGCAGCAGCTGCTGCTGCGGTAATCCTTCGCGCCCGCGCACGCGCATGCGCAGCACCCGCAAGCAGCAGCAGCAGCTGCTGCTGCTGCTGCAGCACGCAGCTCCGCCTCCGGAAGCCCCTCAGGTTCTCCCAAGCTGTAGGCCTCGGCCCAGAGCCCCTCCTTGCTGCAGCTGCTGCTGCGCTGCAGCAGCTTCTCCCCGGGGCCCCCCGGGAAGCAAGGGGGGCCCCCGGGGCAGTGGTCAAGTTTTGCTGCTGCGGGGCAGAAGGAGTGGCAGCAGGAAGCCATTTTGCTGCGTCTGCTGCTGCGCTGCTGCTGCGCTGCTGCGCATTTAGTCTTGCTGTCGAAGGGTGTCTCAGCGGCGCGCAGCAGCCGCGGGAGCGCGCTGCTGCTGCTGCTGCTGCTGCTGCTGCTGCTGCTGCTGCACCCCTTGAGTGACCAGTGGACCACTGGTCACGCGTGCTGCTGCACTGGGGCCTGAAGTGCTGCTGCAGTCTTTTGCTGCGCAGCCGCTGCAGCTGCTGGCGAGTCTGGTGCTGCTGCTGCGGATCTGGCAGCAGCACTGCGCCTCAGTTGTTTTATTGTCTTTATTATTTCATTTTATTTATTTATTTATTTTATTTATTTTATTTATTTATTTCTTTTATTTCATTTTTTATTTCTTCACTTTCGCCCGCGCCTCCCCGCGCATGCAGCGGCGGCGGCACCTCCGACCCCCGCTGCGTCTCTCGTGTGCAGCAGCTCTTTTGAATTTCTCCAATTAATAAAGTTCAATTTTAATTTAAAATTAATTTTAATTTCTTTTTAATTTCCAGTTGCGCCGTTTCAAAGGCCTTTGCTGCTGCTGCTGCAGCTGCCGCAGCAGCAGCAGCAGCAGCAGCAGCTGCTGCTGCTGCAATAGTGGCAGTTTTGAATTTTTTGCAAATAAAGATTTAAAAGACTTTTCGCAGTTGCGAACTCTCAAGAAGTGCTGCGCCTTCGCCAGCGAGAGTCAAAAGAAGAATTAAATGAATTAAATGAATTAAAAGAATTAAAAGAATGAATGAATTAAATGAATAAATGAATTAAAATAAAAAATGAATAAAAGAATTAAACAGTAAACGAATTAAATAATAAATGAATTAAATAATAAATAAATTAAATAATAAATGAATTAAATGAATTTGAATGAACTTTCTTTAAAACCAACTCCGGCCTAAACGCCGGCCCCAAACACCAACTGAACTAAAGGCCGTCCAAAGGCCCTGAGGGGATTTAAAAGAAATTTTTCAAAAAGAACTTTTAATTAAAAGAACTTTTAATTAAAAGAACTTTTAATTAAAAGAACTTTTAATTAAAAGAACTTTTAATTAAAAAGAGCTTTTAATTAAAAGATTTTTTAATTAAAAGAACTTTTAATTAAAAGAACTTTTAATTAAAAAGAACTTTTAATTAAAAAGAACTTTAATTCAAAAGAGCTTTTAATTCAAAAGAAGTTTTAATCCAAAGAGCTTTCGATTCAAAGAGCTTTTAAAGAACTTTTGATTTAAAGAACTTTCGTTTTAAAGGACTTTCAATTCAAAGGACTTTTAATTCAAAGAACTTTTAAAGGACTTTTAATTTAAAGGACTTTTAATTTAAAGAACTTTCAATTTAAAGAACTTCCAACTTAAAGGACTTTCGTTTTAAGACTTTTAATTCGAAGAGCTTTTAAAGGACTTCCAACAAAAGGACTTTCACTTTAAAGAACTTTCAATTCAAAGAACTTTCAACTTAACTTCCAACTTAAAGGACTTTCGAATGAAAGAACTTTCCTTTTAAAGGACTTTCGAATTAAAGGACTTTTAATTCAAAGAGCTTTTAATTCAAAGAGCTTTTAATTCAAAGAGCTTTTAATTCAAAGAGCTTTTAATTCAAAGAACTTTCAATTAAAAGAAATTTCAATTCAAAGGACTTTCAATTCAAAGAACTCTCAACTTAAAGGACTTTCGAATTAAAGGACTTTCCTTTTAAAGGACTTTCAATTCAAAGAGCTTTTAATTCAAAGAGCTTTTAATTCAAAGAACTTTTGATTTAAAAGAGTTTTGATTTAAAGGACTTTCCTTTTAAAGGACTTTCAATTAAAAGGACTTTCAATTAAAAGGACTTCCGAATTAAAAAACTTTTAATTCGAAGAGCTTTTAATTCAAAGAGCTTTTAAAGAACTTTCAATTCAAAGAACTTTCATTTAAAGAGCTTTTAATTCAAAGAACTTTCCACTTAAAGAACTTTGGATTTAAAGGACTTTCGTTTTAAAGGACTTTCGTTTTAAAGAGTTTTTAATTCAAAGAACTTTTAAAGGACTTTAAATTAAAAGGACTTTCGTTTTAAAGGACTTTGGATTTAAAGGACTTCCGAATTGAAGTAATTTGAAGAGTTGTGAAGTCGCAACTGAAAGACTGCAGCGCCGGCGCAGCTCGCGGGGTGTCTGTACACCTGAGCTGCGCGTACACCCCGCGGTGGGGTGTATGGGGAGCTCGGCGGCGGCGAGCGCTGCTGGAGGGGAATAAATTGCGCAGTTTTCGACATTTTTGTTTATTTTTCTATTTTAATTGCAATAACTTCCACCATTTTGCATTAATTTCCACTTTTTGAATTCATTTGAACCATTTTACTTCGAAAAACTCAAAATCTTCTTCTCAAACATCAGCCGATTCATGCACGCGTCGCTCTCTCCCCGCTGCCGCACCGCCCCGCTGAGCGCCACTGTGGTGTACTCGCCGGTGTAGCGGCCGGCCTCGTCGACCTGCAGCAGCAGCGCAGTTTGAAGAACTTCAAAAGATTTATTTGAATATTTATTTGAATATTTATTTGAATATTTATTTGAATATTTATTTGAACATTTATTTGAATATTTAATTGTTTTCTTGTGGAAAAAGGAATTCTAATCAACACTTCCCACTTCTTCAACTAGTGCGGCACTTGGGGCATTTCAATCCGCCGTTTAAAGCACTTAAAAAACGCATATATATATATATAATATATATATATATACATATATATGTATATATATATATACATATATATAATATATATATATACATATATATGTATATATATATATATACATATATATGTAAATTGATACACATAAATACATATATATATACATGTATATATATATATTAAATAATGAGGCATTTGTAGCATCTTGAAAGACTTATTTCAGCAAATGTCTCGAACAGTGGAAAGTTTAAAGAAGTTCGAAAGACATATTTCGACAAAAAGTTCAAACAAAAGGCACTTATAGTTTTTTAAAGACTCATTTCAACATCTGTTTCAAATAATTGGGACTTTAAGCTCCTTGAAGACTTATTTCGACAAAAATTTCAAATAAAGCGGCATTTAAAACACTTAAAAGATTAATTTGACATAAATGACAAACAAAACAACTTTTAAAAGGTTTTGATTTTTTAAAAGACCAACTTCGAAACAAATATCAAACAAACAGCATTTAAAACATTTAAAAGATTAATTTTGAGATAAATGACAAACAAAAAGCTTTTAAAAGATTTAAAAGATTAATTTGACATAAATGACAAACAAAGCATTTAAAACACTTAAAAAGAAGCCGAAAGTGATTGGAAGCGAAGAATAAAAGAAATAAAAGGAAGTAAAAGAAATAAATGAAATAAAAAGGAAATAAATGAAATAAAATGGAAATAAAAGGAAATAAAATGGAAATAAATGGAATAAAGAGGAAATAAAAGCAATAAAACGTGAAATAAAACGGAAATAAAAGGAAATAAAAGGGAAATAAATGAAATAAAAAGGAAATAAATGAAATAAAATGGAAATAAATGGAATAAAATGGAAATAAAAGCAATAAAATGGAAATAAATGAAATAAAATGGAAATAAATGAAATAAAATGGAAATAAAAGAATAAAAGAAATAAAAAAAGTTGAAAAAAAGAAAAGTTCGGACCATTCCGATGTTGATTTGGACGGCGCCGTGCTCCTTCGCGGGGATCAGCCGGGAGGTGGCGGAGCACTTGCGGGGGACGTACAAGTCCACCACGCGGCCTTCGTCGTTTTCCATTCTAAAAACAAATAATAAATAAATAAATAAATAATAAATAAATAAATAAATAAATAAATAAATAAATAAATAATAAATAAATAATAATTAATTAATTAATTAGTTGATAATTGATGTAAATACAGCGGAAATTGGACGGGAAATGGGGAAATGGCGGTGGGCGCAGCAGCGCACGCAAGGGAAAACAGCAGCAGCAGCAGCAGCAGCAGCAGCAGCAGCAGCAGCAGCAGCAGCAGCGGAGTTTGGGAAGTGGAAAGATCTTTTGAGTGGAGTTTTGAAAGAACTTGCAAAAGAGCAGCAGCAAAGAAGAGACTGCAGCAGCAGCAGCAGCAGCAGCAGCAAAGTTCACAAAAAAGAAATAAATGCAAAAAGTTCATCTTTTGCTTTTTGCAAGTGGGGCTTTTAATGCATGCAAAGGCCACAAGCAGCAGCAGAAAAGCCCCAAAGAAATGAACTGACAGCCACAAGAAAGAGAAAAAAGAAAGTTTTGAAAAAGTGGAAAAAAGAAAAATAAAAATGCAAACGCATGCGCCACTTGAGGTGTACATACACCCCAAGCCACTGCGCAAGGAACGCAACGCGCGCTGCTGCTGCCTTCGAGGGCTTCGGGAAGCAGCAGCAGCAGCAGCAGCAGCAGCAGCAGCAGCAGCAGCAAGAAGAGGAAAGCAAATTAATTAGAGAGATAATAAAGAAGAAAGGAGCAAATTAGAAGTTCAGTTCGCCCCGCTGCTGCTGCTGCAGGCCCGCTGCAGCAGCAAGGCCGTGGGGCCGCGCAGCGCTCACTTTCGCGGCTTTCGGAGAAGTCCAGCAGCAAAAGAAATCAAATGAAAGAAGAAAGAGAAAGTAATTTGAGTTTTGGAGGCTGCGAGGTGTACGTACACCCCAGGATCGCGGCCACTGGGCCCTTCCCCACAAAGCCCTGCGGCTGCGCGCCGGTTGGGGCTTGCTGCGGCTGAGGACAGGGCTGAGGCGGGATATTGGGATTTTTGTGGCTTAAAAGGACTTATTTTGTCTTTAATTTACTCTTTTGAGATGTTTTAAACCTTTTGGACTTCTTTAATTTCGAGTTTCCCCGCAAAAGGAAGCAGCAGCGGCGGCTGCGGCTGCGCGCAGGCCTGGCTAGCCGTCGATGCAGAAACGGGCTTCGCGCCGTCCGAACTTTCTGTCTTTTCGCCTTTTCTTTTGCTTTTTTCTCCAATAAAAGTCCAATTTTAACTTATTTATTTATTATTCTTCTTTTTAATTCCAAAAAGCCGCGCGAAAGGGCCGGATCGGCAGTCTTTCCGCTCCGCTCGTTCGACTCGGCTCACCGGAGCCGAATTCGGCTGTACGTACACCCCGTTCATTTCTGCTTTCCAATTCCCATTTAGTTCATTTTCATTTTCTATTTTTACTTCATTTCTTCCACTGCTTCCGACAGAGCCCTCTGGCGAAGTCCAGATCCGCAGCGCCGCGCAGCTCAGGGTTTCGGGTGTCTGTACACCTCACGCCGCGCACTCCGCTTTCCTTTTCTCCTCCTTTTCCACTTCGCTCACTTTTAAAACTTTCCAAAACTCCGCAGTGAGTCCCAGTTCGCGAAGCGGCTAACCAAACCCTAAACCCTAAACCCTAAACCCTAAACCCTAAACCCTAAGCCCTAGTGCTCTGGGGTTTAGGGTTTAGCGCTTCTTTCGATCTAGCGGAAACAGAGCAGCTGCAAAAAAGGTGCTTTATTGAGATGATTTATTTCTTGCCTGAGGGTTTAGGGTTTTGAAAACCTATAACGGGTTTCTTTTGCTGCTGCGCTGCTGCTGCTGCTGCGCTGCTGCTGCTGCTGCGCTGCTGCTGCTGCTGCTGCTGCTGCTGCGCTGCTGCTGCAGACGCACCTCCGCTCTCTCCGCCAACTTTACCTTTTTGTCTTTTTCACTTCGGAGAAGATGAAGCCCTTAAGCCTGAGTTCTTTCTTGCGCCTCTTGTCTTTGATTTCGTTAGCTGCTGCTGCTGCTGCTGCTGCTGCTGCTGCTGCTGCTGCTGATGCAAGCAGCGGGGAACCAGCCTTTTCCCTTGGCCGGGAAATACCCGTCAACACCACAGAGCAGGCCGTGAGGGCGCAGCCGGTGCTGCAGCAAACTGACCCAGCAGCAGCAGCAGCAGCAGCTGCTGCTGCTGCTGCTGCTGCTGCTGACGCAGGACAAGTTCGGATTTCTTCGCAGCAGCAGCAGCAAGAACCCCTAAGCAGCTCTTTCTTTGGTGCAACAGATACTTCTAATATTGCCTTCTCCAGGCATGCGCCAGGTAACGCTGCTGCTGCTGCTGCTGCTGCTGCTGCTGCTACTGCTGCTGCTACTGCTGCTACTGCTGCTGCTGCTGCTGCTGCTGCTGTTACTGCTGTTACTGCTGCTGCTACTGCTGCTGCTATTGGTGCTGCTACTGGTGCTGCTGCTGCTGCTGCCTGAGTTGCTTCAAGAAAAGCAGCAGAGCCTCTGTGGGTTTTTTCGTTGGCATTTTAGTTTAATATTAAAAGTATTTTTGAATTTGATTTTCTTTTTGAATAGCATTTGAATATCCAATTAATTAATTAGCGAAATAATTTGAAGTTTTTTTGAAGTTGTTTTTGAAGTTGAAGAAAAGTTAAATATATTTTTTTTTGGACTGCAGGCGCGGAAGTCCCGACTCTGTCGTTTTTCGACTTCTTCGACTCCAACTGGAATGAATCTGAAGAGGAAAATTCGGCAGAGTCCGAAAAAGAAAACTTTGTGGATTTTTATTCAAGTTGGGGCGGAAGTTCTGTGCCGTACTTGGGGAGCGAGCTGTCAGCGCGGGGGCTGCGGCGGCGAAAGCGGAACTAAATGCGGCCAAAGGCGCGCCAAAGTGGAATTAAAACAAATAAAATGCAATTATATTCTCATTTTAATCATTTAAAACCTTTATTTCCAAAAATGCCGAAGTTTTCCGACCATTTAGACCCCGGACCGAAGGGTGGCGCGCGCGCGCGCGCTGAGGTGTACGTACACCGCAGCGCGGCGAGCGAAACGCCCAACCCGCGAAGTTCACAATTCCGATTAATATTAATTCTTATTAATATTAATTCCTGTTAATATTAATTCTTATTAATATTAATTCCTATTAATATTAATTCTTATTAATATTAATTCATTTTAATGTTAATACTTCATTCTCCTCTGTCTCCACACTGGGTGCTCGACACACACTGCCTCTCTTCTTTTCCGTTTTTTACCCATACATATATATATATATATTGTGTATATATATATAATATATATATATATATTATATATATATAATATATATATATATATATCATATTATATATATAATATATAATATATATATCATATTATATATATTGTATATATATATATATATAAGTGTATAGATGTATATATATATATATATATATATACATGTATGTATATTTAGCAGCAGCAGACGAAGCAGCAAATTGAAGCCCCAAAAGCAAATTTGGAAAAAAATGAAAAAAACAAAAAGTGAAAACTGAAGGGGCTGCGAGCGCGCCGCAGTGTACGTACACCCCAAAGGGGGGCCTGGCGCTCGAGGCATTCAATTTTTGCAAAACAAAAAAAGAAGAAAACGGAATTAAGAGTTGTTGAGTTTGCAAATGGAGTTGTTCTTTTTTTGAATAGTCCCCTTTAAGGAGCTTTTCTTTTCACATTTTCTCTTTACTTTAAGGCAGTTTCCCCTTGAGCTGTTTTTCACCATTTCTTCTACTAGTTTGTGCAGCCCCTAGTGGACAAAGCCAGGCTTACAATGCATGCATGCATGCATGCATGATGCATGCATGCATGCATGCATGCATGCATGCATGCATGCATTAATGGGGCTTTGTATGATACAATTAAATGCTTAATACTAATATTATATTATGTGTAGAAGTTTTAATATTTGTAGTTTTGTAGAAAGGCTGCACTTGCAGAATTGGTGACAGTGTGGGTGAGCTGTCTGTACACCCCGTTGCCTCGCGGGCAAAGGGGCATTTAGGCGAAGAGCTGAATGAGAAATAAAAGTAATTAAAAGTATTTTAAAAACAAAAGAAATTAAAATCATTTAAGAAATAAAAGTAATTGGAGGCTTCAAGAAATAAAAATGATTGAAAGTCTTCGAAAATAAAAGTTTGAACGAAACCGGAGGGGCCCCGCCGGACCGGGCAAGCAGTTGTCGGGAGTTGCATGCAGAAGAGTAGTTCTTTGATTATTATTTCAATTTAAAATAATAATTTCAATTTAAATATTTTAAATTAATATTTTATTATTATTTTCGCAAGTCAAATAATGTTTGCAAGAAGCAACTGCACAGTTTCCGTGCACAGCACTGCTGCATGCGCCGCCGCCGGTTCAACTCAAACTAGAGAAAGAAGCAACAAACAAACAGTTTTCATTTATAAAATAAATGCAATAAATGATAAACAAATAAATAAATGAATTAAATATAATAAAACTGGAAAAGCAGCTGCAAACAGCTGCAGCAAATGCGAAAAGTGCATTGCAGACACAACAGCAACTTTGCTACTTTTCATTTTCTCGAAGCTGCAGCTGCCCGAGAATGGAAGCCGACGGCGCTGCAGCAGCAGCAGCAGCAACAGCAGCAGCTGCTGCTGCTGAAGAAGCTGCAGCACAGAAAGCAGCGCAGCAAATGCCAAATTAAAACCCCAACAGGCAGCAGCAAATCAAATCAAGGAAGCAGCAAAGTCCCAAACAGCAACTCCCGCCAAAGACGCTGTTGCTGCTGCCTGCTGCCTGCAGCAGCAGCAGCAGCAGTTGCTGCTGCTGCTGCTGCTGCAGGCAACAGCAACAGCTGCAGCATTAGCCTCCTCGTCACAACCGTTTAAAACTATTTATTTATTTATTTCATTTGACAGATTTTAAATGAATTAAAATTACTTTTAATTGTATTGATTTAAAAATCTGGAAAGTTTGCATTAATTCCCCACCTTTTTGCCATTTAATCGGTTTAAAGGGAAAAACATTTTATTTGTTTTTTTGCATAAAAATCCCCAATTTTCCCCCAAATAACTCATTTTTTTGCCATTTAATGCAAATTAAATGATTAAAAAGTACTCTTAATTGTTTTAATTGAAGAATCATGAAAAGTTTCCTCAAATTTCCCAATTCTTGGCCATTTTTCGAACTTTAAGTGCATTAGAGTTCCCATTCGCCACTTTTTCCCGAAAAGTTCCCGATTTTCCTCCCAAATTCCCCAACATTATGCAATTTAATTGACATTAAATGAATAAAAGACACACTTCACAGTTTCAATTGAGAAATCGGGGAAAGTTTCCTCAAATTCCCCCACTTTTCGGCATTTGGCTGATTTCAACTTGTGAATTAAGAGCTTTACTTGTCGTTTTTCGTCGAAAAACCCCCGATCTTTCCCCAAACTTTGCAAATTGGTCAACATTAAATAACATGAAATGAACAAAAGTCATTTTATTTGAGAAATCGCGGAAACTTTCCTCAAATTCCCCGGCATTTCGCCACTGAACCAACTTTAGTGAACTGACTGAAGGCCCTACGTGCCGCTTTCCCCCGAAGTCCCGAATTTCCCGTTTAATTCCCCGAAAATTGCGAAATAATTAAAATTAAAACAAATAAAAGGCGGGGCGAAGACTTTAAACTCGAAAACCGGAGAAACTTGCACGAAAACCCCGGCCCGCGGGCACTTGTGCGTTTTGGAGCGAACTACGGGCTGTATTTCCCTTATTTTCTCCCCGTTTTTTCCCCTTTTTCTTCCCAATTGCCCCCCGTTTAAATTCCCCTTTTAATTTGCGGCATTTTGCCCCAATCGGCGCTGAAAAGCGCGGGAAATCGCAGAAGCTGGGGCGGAAAGCACTCACGCGAGGGCGGCGGCCGCGGCCGGAAACTGTAGCGAAGGTCCAGCAAAAAACGACTGCCGTCCACTCCGTGCAAATTCAAACTTTCTATTAACTCCAAAACGTCCAAAACGAGCAGCGGGACGGCGCCGCGGCGGCCGCGCGGCCGCAGGGCGCGGCCCCGCACCTTCCGCCTGCGCAGGAAACCCCAAACCCTAAACCCTAAACCCTAAACCCTAAACCCTCGCCTGCCAGTCCTGAAGAGTCAGTGATAAACCCTGGACTGCACTCGAAACCCTAGACACTCTTCCCCGTTGAACTCGCAGTCCTGCAGCCTGGATCCCGAGGCCGGAAGACTGAGGCTTGAAACCCTAGAACTTAACCCTTCGCTGCGAATCCTAAACCCTAAACCCTAAACCCTAAACCCTAGGCCACTAGTGCTAAGTGCTAGGCTCTAAACCCCTGCAGAAATCAAATGAAAAGGACTAAAGTTGAACTTACACATTTGGATTTTGATTGCATGCACGTGCATGCAATTATATTTAATCTGCTTGTGAGTGAGTGACCTGTGAGCTAGACTTGTTCATATTTTATTCCTTTTTTTGAAAAAGAGTTTTTTATTTAGTTTTTCATCCACTTAAGCAGATAAACAACAGCGAAAACTTATTTCCTAGTTGAGAGGAACCACAAGCTTCTAAAATTCGAAATCGAATTAATTCAATTAGTCATTTACTTGTTTTCATTTTCTCATTCTGCGCGACAGTTTTTTGCATAAGTAGACATTCACATAAAACCAACAAAGATGGGCCAAAAGCGCTTTTTCTGGAGCGAAATTTAACAGAAAAGAATGCAAAATCACAAATTAAAAGAAAGAATTAGCTTTAATTGTTTATTTGTTTGTTTTTCTTTGTACTTGCATTCAACTCCATCGGTGCGGGGCGCAGGCGTCTACAGCACGAGAAGAGTGCGATTATGAACCATTATTTGTGTAGACGTTTCTATTTATTTAAAACTCTTTTATTTTTTCTTTTTATTATTTATTTGTTCAGTTTTAATGGCTTTTAAAAGCCTTTTAGGGCCACTCACGCTGCCGCATCCAGTGCCTCCGTGAGGCGCCCAGAAAGTCCAGTTGAAAAGCGCAAAAGGGCGGGAGAGTGAGTATCGGGGCACATAAAACTCCCTAGAAAGCAAAAATAAATAAAAAGAAATAAAAGAAATTAAAATGAAACAAAATAAATGAAATTAAATCCAATATAACAAAAATCGGAACAGGAAACATGTCAGCCAGCTCAACGCACGCAAGTTCAGAAGTCGAGCCCACTTGAACGAAGTCGATTTGTTTTTATTTGTCGGAATAAAAGCATTAAATTGAAATCAAAAGAATAAAAAGAGGAAAGTCAAAAGAAGAACAGCAATTAAACAGCAGAAAAGCAATTATTAAATGAAAAAAATGACAAAATGAGGACTTTTCATGTTTTGCATTTTCAAGTTTCTGCAGCTTTCTTACTTGGAAAGTGCTGCCCATACTTGAGATAATCGATGATTTTGTTTTTCAGCTGTTTGACGTTTTCAGTGAGAGTGTGAAAAGCGTCATTGAGCATTGGAAACAATTCCGATTCATCTACTGGCTGTTCTTGCTGCTGCTGCTGCTGCTGCTGCTGCTGCTGCTGCTGCTGCTGCTGCTGCTGCTGCTGTTCCTCAGCCTCGCGGCGCGCAGCTGCCATTTCGTCCGCGTAGGAAGACTTCTTCCGCACAAACTGCAGCAAACGGTGCACCACGTCGGAGCTGCTGCTCTGCCGCTGCTGCTGCTGCTGCTGCTGCTGCTGCTGCTGCTGCTGCTGCTGCGCCTCGTGCAGCCCCTGGGCAATTGCGGCCAGCGACTGGCCCAGCAGCAACTCCAGCGTGGCCTCGCTTTCGCCCTCGGGAGAGTAATAGAAGAATTTCACTGCAGCAAATGCACAATTGATGCATTTAAACGACATTTTGTGTCAATAAATATGT